CCAGGGCCGACCCCGACTCCAACCCGTCATAAGTGGCTTGTGGTCGGTCACAAAATGGACGGGACCTGAGGTGCCTTCCAAGAAGAGAGCGAAAGCCTGCAGCTCCGACCTGGGCACAGTTTGCGAAGGGCCTCGCAAAATCTCAGAGATGCCCCCCAAGACGGCCCAACGCAAAGGTCCTTCCCCAGGTCGCGCGTCCCTGACCACAACGACGGCGGAGCCACACCGACGGCGACGAGGGTCGGACGAAAAGCGTCCTCCAGAACCGTCCCCGAAGCCGATCAGCGGGCTACTGCCAGGGTCTCTAGAGCAAGCCCCAAGCGGGACCTCACCTAATTGGGCTCTGCTCAGGCTCTCCGACGGCTCCCTGAAAACAGGGTGGGTGACACGGGTTGGCGGAACACCTCGCAGCCAAAGGCTTGGTTCAGATTCAACAGAGGCTAACGCTTGGGGAATCAAATGATCAGTAGACGTGAAATCACTGTGGTCTTTGTTGCAGGGGCATCGCCAAATGCGGTGCGCAAGAGTTTCTTCCTCCTGCTGGCACCGCGGGCACAGGCGGTCTGAGGGCTCGCTCAGTGGGCGCTGCCTGTCCATCGTCCACTGGGCGCCCGTGACCACGCACAAATTGAGGCCGAACAGGTCGAGCTCCCCCCTCTTGGCGTAGCGACTGAGCTCCAGTCTGGGCCAATAAAGGTCAGCTCCTTCAGCCAAGCAGTCCCCTGCAACATGCGCCGATGCATTGCGCCAAAGTTGAGCGCGAAAATCAGTGACCACGTCGTCCAGCAGCTCGGAGATGTCGAACCCAGTGGGGTCATAGCCTGAACGACGTGCGGTTGGAATCTGCCACTCCTCGATTCCTCCATCAGTGGGCCTCCTCCAACGGAGGGCCGAGGGTGCTTCCCATCCCGCGTCAAGCAGGGTCGCAATAACAGCTCCAATGGGTCCTTTGACCAATCTCCATCTTCTGCTGGCGCCAGCTGCGAGAAGCCGCCGATGAATGACCGTCCAAGCGTTTTCAACTCGGTGGTGAATGCTGGTGTCGGTCTTCCAGAGACAGAGAAATTCTGAAAGCAGGCCTCGACGCAGCTCCAGGGCAGGGTCCTTGGGGCCGTAAAGAACCGCCAGAGTGGTCGTAAGACACCTGCCCTTCATGGGCCCAGCTCCAGCCGAGGCTGCCTGCCGCCTGACGGCGAGGACGTTGGACGGCGACATGCCATGGGCCTGGTGCCCGTAAGAGCCTTGAGGAGCTGCGCCTGTGGCCCAGAGACCCTGAGCTTCTCGTCGAAGAGGGGCATGTTTGCGTAGACGGGCAATACGAGCTGCCCTCCTCTTGCTGGCGGTCAACCTCATTCTGGCCTTAATGACTGTGCGCTGCTTGCCAGACGCCGCATCGATGCCAAGGTCCGTGCCGTGCAGGCCGTACCGCACAGGGATGCCTCGCTTCTGCAACTGAGCGGCCGTCCTCCTCCCATCCTGAGGGACGGTGGCGATGAGGACTGACTTGTCCGAAAGCGTAAGTCGGAATTGAGTGGCGAGGTCGGCGCGAGTGACCGTAGCGTGGAGGATCTCGGTTTGGACCTTGGCTTGCGTGCCTTCTGAGCGGGCAACCGTGTCGTCAATGAAGGTCCAGAAAGTGCTGAAGCTCGCTCTGCGATGTGCCGCCTCCATCAATGGATGTAAAAACACTTTGGCAATCCTTACCCCATGTGGGGAGCCTGCAACAAGAGATCCGGTGGCGAAGATGGCATCAGCAACGCCAAGAGAGCCCCGCAAGAACCGAGGCCCAGCGCACATCTCCAGCTCCAGCAGAACCACAATCGCTGGGAACTTGAGATCGAGTGCAGCTTGGCCAATGAGGACCCAGGATAACGAGTCGTAGAACTTCTCGAAGTCCAAGAGCAGGGTCGCCGCCGAGATGCCGAGAGCCACTGCGGACTCATCGAGCAGCGCTCGCAAGAGCCCCGCTCGAAGCGAGCTGCTGCCCGCCACTGCAGTGTCCCAGAAGTCAGAGAGCTCCTTAGTCCAGGTAGACGTAACGCCTGCTCTCACGCGGGACCAAGCCTTCGCCGTCTCTGGAAGTAGGCCAATGACCCTTTCTCCTCCTTTGGGTTTAGGTAATAATGCTCCAATAGATGCCAGGATCTGAGCAGGCCAAACTCCATGTTCTTCAATGCTGTTGAGAAGCCTGCAGTAATCACACCGACCTTCAAGTGGGAGCCGTTGGAGGTCCAGAGGTGTGATGGAGTCAACTCCGCAGGCCTTGGTGCCAAGAACCTTGAGAACCTTGTCCACCTGGTCGACGCTAACAGGATCTAACTCCTCCTCGCGGCTCTGCGTGTGCAGGCGCTTGAACATGGCGAGGATGTCGGGCTGAGAGTCGACTGGGTCGTGCCAGAGTCTTTCCCAGGTGGATCTGGTGTGTTCCATTCTAACAAATGGGTCTCCAACGACGCGCCCATCCACTAAGGGGTCAGCTGAGACCGCCTTGGGTTCCTTCACCAGTGAGTGGAGCAGGCCCGGCTTAGATTTCCAAACCTCCTTGGCCCAGCGGATGAAGGAATGCCGCCTCAAGGTCAAGCATCTTGCCTGCGAACGGCAGGCCAGCTTCTCGGTGAAGTAGGCGAAGTCGTCGCGCTCCAGCTCGGTGGCGCTCGCGAAGGCGCGAGACCAAGAAATCCACCGCTGCTGATTAGCGGCGCCCTCTGAACCTGGACCGAAGAAGTCGGATGGCTCGAAGCTGTTGGCGTCGTTGGTGTAGCGACCAAGGGCTGAGGTACAAATCGCTAGCTGGCGAGGATCCTTGCCATGGCGTTGGAGAGCCATGATTCTTTGGACCAAGGTGAGTACTGTTCCCCACCATTCTCCAGCTCCATCAGTCATGTGCACTCGCCCTGGAGTAGCTTTGGTCTGCATCCATCGCAAAGAAAATCCAGCTGCGCGTGGAACTCGCAGTCGAGGGTCAAGCTGAGGATGAAGTGCGAATGCACGCTCCACTCCAGCAGACCACCGCGCGTACTGCCTGGTGACGGCACCAATGCCGAGCACGTTGATCTGACCCAACAACTCAGAATTGACCACGCTGCAACATTGGGAGCTGAGCCCCTCCTTGGAGGGCTGCTCTTCCCACAGGTCTGTAGGTATGTGAAAAGAGACCTGGGACTCAAGATCCAAAGTACTCCCTGATAGATGTAGTGAATCGTAATCTTCCAACAGATCGGGTGGTACGCGGGCCCGTTCTTGCGCTTGCCGTTGGGCTCGAAGGAGAGACCTTGCTGCTGGGGTCCGCGGCGAGCTTGGGTCTGGCTACCTTCGGAAACGGTTCAGGTAACATGAGTTTCTGGTACCACCATCTGCGCATGCCGTCGTGGACGTCAACTTGTAAGGCACAATGCGTCTTCCAAGGTACCTGAGGCTGCGAACGAACTCGGTACCTGGAGGATGTCCCGTTCTTGGCCATGGCGAAGTCGGTGAGCGAGCCCTCTTGCCCTTTGTCGCACGTGGTGCTGACATCAGCAGGCAGAAGGAGGGTGCCTCCTATTCTTTCAGGCCAGCCAGAGCCTTCAAAGGACGTTGGGGAGATGTTCCAATCTCCGATAACCAGCCAAGGGTCTGCAATACCATGAAGAAAGGAGGCTAACGCCACCAACACTTGGCGATTTCTGCCAGAAACTCCCAATCCTGGCCATAGATAAACTGATACCAAGACCAGGTTGCCCGACGACGTGTGCAAGATCATGGCGGCGAACCCGCGCATAAGATCAGGTTGGCGTGCAGCTTGTGCGTGTTGCCGAACTGCCTGTAGTGACGTTGTGGCCAGATGCTTCTTGGCCATAACCCATTCGCCACCAGAAGAGCCTCCTCGTCCTGTTGGTGTGCTCCCTGTGGCGCAGACCTTCCACCCGTCTTTGTCAAGGTCCACCTCCGTCTTGGAGTGGAACGTGGCGGAGGTGACGTGAGTCTCCACCAGACAATAAACATAGTAAGGGGCTGTGTTGACATAGCGCTGCGCTTGAGGCCCCCACTCCGTGATGTTACCATAAAGGATCGAGAAATCATTCTCGTCGGTGGTAAGCTTGGAGGGGGCTGGAGCGGCCAAGGCCTGCGCTGCTGGTGCGCCGAGGCCAGCCCCGGCGCAAGGAGGGGCGCTGCTGCAGGCAGCCAGGTCCGCGCTAACCTCTGGTGGGCTGGCGGTGACGCCTGGCGGCGAGGGGCCAACCTCCGCCTCGAACGGCAAGTCCTGGGGGGAGCGGTCGATGACCTCCTCCAGCGCCAGCTCTTCGAACGGGTCCAGCTCGGCGTCGTACAGGTGCGCCGTGTGCGCGACAGCAGCGCCTTGACCTGGGCCGCTCGGCGAGGCAGGGACAGAGGCCTGCGGTGCCGTAGATGCGCGAGGCGCAGCCCTCGGGGGAGGGCTGTCATTAAGGGCAGCATACGCCAGCCCGCCAAGCGCACCCGTCAGCGAGGCTTGACCCGAGGCGCTCGCAGAAGTGCGAGTGGCCGAAATCCTCGCACTCGGGGATGGCGAAGGACCGCGCGACGCCGAACGCGACGGAGACGAACGTCTCGCCTGCGGGGTTGGTGACGCCGAGCCTGGAGCCGCAGTCGGCGTGCTGCGCACCTCCAACGGTGCTGTAGGCGGATCGCTTCCGAAGGCGCGCTCCTCATCCGCGTCGAGGAAGAACTCGACGGGGTAGGGCCAGGGGCGCCCGCCGTAACAGCATGCCGAAGGAACTCGGCGCGGCGCCCCTAGCTCTGCGTTAGGCTGTGGACGGAGCCCCTGGGGCTGCAGGGGAGGGGGCGGCGCCAGGAGCGGGCTCTGCGAAGGAGGCGGCGGCCTCCTGCTGAGCATTAAGCTCGTCCTGGGCAGACTTGGCCTTGGCTCTGGCCGCGGCGCGCATGGCCTCGGCCCCAGCAGGAGCTCCTGCTGCCGCAGCGGCGCCTGCGGACGCGGCCCCACCAGGAGCAGCAGCAGCAGCGGGGCCAGCAGCATACCCAGCCGCGTCGCTGCCGTCCACGCGCCTGCGCTTGGCCTCCTCCCTGGCGCGAAGCTGCCGAGCCTCCTCCCGCAGCTCCAGGATGCGCTGCGCCGAGGGTCCAAGGACTTCCTGGACCTTGGTCTGGACGCTGTCGGCCAGCTCCTGCTTGATGCGCTCCCAATCGACGCGCGCCTGCTCGTCGAGCTCCAAGCCCGAGAGGTCGAAAAGCGGCCCGTCCACGATCTGCAGCGAGCCCTCATCAACGAGCGTCGACAGGTTGATCGCCGAAGAAGTGGGTGGCGGCGCTGAAGGCGGCGCCGCTTTGGCCTTGACCTGCTCGGCACAGGCCGCCTCCCAGTCCTGCTGCGCAGCGTGAGCGCTGGCGGCCGCCTCGTCCTCAGCGGCCTGGGCGTCGGCCAGCCACCGCTCGCCCTCCAAGACGCGGGCAGCGCAGGTCTCAAGCCATGCCAGCGCCCTCCTGCAGGCCACACCTTTGGCCCGCACTTCCTCCTCAACGAGTGGCGCCTTCTGAGGGGCGCCCGCGCCAGCAGCGGCTGCCTGGGCCTCCTTCTTGGCCTGCACCGCCGCTTTGAGCTTGAGCAGCTCGTCGCAGTCCGAGCCGAGCTCCTTCTCGAAGAACACAAACGGGTCTGCAGGCTGGGAGGGCTGCTGCTGTCCCGCGCGGCCGCCTTGAGGCACCCAGCCCGCCTGTTGATAGACCCAAGGCCGGCCTTGGACGGCCTGGGCCTTCGGCGCGGGCCGAGGCGGAGGCGGTCCCTTGGCGCCCTTGCCTCCCGCCTGGGCCCAGGGTGGGGCCGCAGGGGCGTCGGCAGCAGTCTCTGCCTCAGGAGGAGGCGCTGCGCCTGCCTGCGGCGGGCCCCAGACCCACTGGCCGCGAGGCCGCTTGTCCTCCGAGGGGCTCGGTACCAGGGCGCCGCCGCACTGGTGACACCAGTGGTTGTTCTTGAAGTTCCAGCGGAACCTGCAGGCCGTGCAGGCGATGTACGTCGTGGCCCCTGCCGATGGAGCCGAGCGACCACCGCCGAGGCCTTTCCTGCCACCGCCCTTCTTGCCGCCGCCTCCCATGGCCGCCGCGAGAGAGGCTGCTCTCCCAGTGAAGGGGGCAGGCGAGGGACTGGGGCGGACCAGTCCTCGCGAAGAGGATGTCGGGCGCAAGCACCCTGGCACTGCCGCGGACTAGCGGTATCCAGTTCTGCCAATGCGGGCTCAGCCCGCAAAGAAGGCATCTTGAGCCAAAATGGCTACGGCGAGAGGAGGAGGGAGGAGCAGGGAGGGAGGAGGAAGGAGGAGGCGGAAGGAGGAGGGAGGAGCGGCCTCGCGGGGATGATCGGGGAGGGGGAACTTTTCGTCAAGGAGCTCGACGATCGAATTGATGTGCACAAGAATTCGTCTCGTGGCCGAGCCCACGCAACAAAAACATGTAGAACGTCCGATTCCCGATGCCCCGAACCCCAATAACGTGTGCATCTCTTGGGGGCGCAGCTTGTACTTCCGCCGCCTTCCGCCAGCCTTCCGCCGGCTTCCGCCGGCGGAGGCGCCCTCGTTTCACTTCCGCCGCCTTCCGCCGCGGAAGAGTTGGCAATTCCCTCGATCCTCGAAGGCAAAGGGTTTTTGTTTTGGAACACATATTCCTATTCGTATGTTGTTATAGGGGCAGGGACCTCGGAGAAAACACAAAAAACATAATAAAACACACACACACACGCACACACACACACACACACACACACACACACACACAGCTAACGGATTTGGCCCACCCTGGGCAGAGGGCCCTCGACGTTCTGGCGCGCTCGGGAAACGACCCCAGAAAGACGGTCGACGACGACCCACAAGAAGCCGTCATACCCCCAAAGATCGCTCCAAAACGTCCCAATAGGCCTCGAAGAGCATTCCCAAGAGGGCCCCGAGATGCAAAAGTCATTGATTTTCCGGTGGTTTGTGACGGATTTGGGAGTTCTCCCTTGTTCTTCTTCCCGACGCTCCAGGACGGCCCACGAGGCCCCCAAGACGGTCTAAGACAGCCCGACAGACTTCCAAGAGGGCCCTAAACTGGCCCAAGAGTGCCCCCAGACAGTCCCGACAGGGCCCCAGGAGGCCTCAGGGGGCTCCCAAGAGGCCCCGAAGAGGCCCCAAGAGGCTCCCAAGAGGCTCCCAGGAAGCCCCAAGAGGTCCCAAGATTCCCCAAAGATACCGCAAGGACCCCACAGAAGTCCGAAAACAACCGAAAAGGCCCCCCAGACAGCCCCAAAACGGGCCAGGAGCCCAAACAAGACCCCATGACAGCCCAACAGAGCCAATACGCGCCCTGAGACAGGCCCAAGCCATAACGGGACTGCACCGCGTCCCACAGAGGCCCTCAGAAGGCTCCGGGAGGCTCCGAGAAGGTCCACGTGACGGTAACACTCTGAAAGCGAGGCCTCCAAAGAGCGAACGGCGGCGCAAACCAATTTCAGCGTCGAGATAATCGAGCCCCGCTGCGACACGGTCCCGAGGCCCCCCAAGGCCCTCACACGGCTCCTTCCATGGTCCCAAAGACACGGTCATTGGGAAGCCCAGGTCGCCGTTCCACATTCTGCCGTGTCCTCCATACCGTCTCTTGCCCAAGTCTTTCGGCACCCGCGAGCCCTGCACTGCGTTTCTGGCCCTCCCTTCTGTGGCCACGACCGCGTACATGTATATAGGCATGCATATGTGCACACGCAGATCTGTCCAAGTAGACATGATACAGATGTATGCGCACGCATGGATCTCTCTCTATACCTATACGACCGCCCTGCGGTCGATAAGGAGGTCGGGGGGGATTGAGATCAAATGCCCACCCTGATTGACCTCCAGCCTGTCACCTTGATCTCATCTCTCTCTTTCTCCCTGTCTGTCTCTCTCTCTCTCTCTGTCTCTGTCTCTCTCTCTCTCTCGCCCTATCTCTCTCTCGCCCGGGGCACCCGGGACACCCGGGACACCGCCCGGCCCAACTGGGACACCTCCCGGCCACGGGCGGACGGGAAACGGACTTTCGCTCCTACTGACACCCGGGACACCGCCCGGCCCAACTGGGACACCTCCCAGCCACCGGCGGACGGGAACGGACTTTCGCTCCTACTTCGGCCTAGCTACAGGAGGATCACGCGCAGCTTCGCCTCGCCCGCACGCACGACACGAACACGAAACCGAAACCGATTGCCCGGCGGGGGGTCTCCGTTTCACTGCGATCTCACCCCTCAACCTCCGATATCGTGCATGCGCGTGCGCGCGTATGACATGTATGCACATATTCGCGCGCGTATGTACACAAGCACGCACGCCGCCCGCGTGCGAATCTCGAAGGACCATCCTCCTCCTCCTCCTCATCCTTCTCCTCTCTCCTCCTCTCTCCTCCTCCTCCTCCTCCTCCTCCTCCTCCTCCTCCTCCTCCTCCTCCTCCCTCTTCCTCCTCCTCCTCCTCCTCCTCCTCATCCCTCCTCCTCCTCCTCCTCCTCCTCCTCCTCCTCACCTCATCATCATTCAACGTCATCATCATCATCATCATCATCATCATCAATCATCATCCTCCATCATCCTCATCATCACATCATCATCATCATCATCATCATCATCATCAATCACCATCATCACCCGCATCATCATCAATCATCATCATCATCAGCACACCATCATCATCATCATCATCACCATCATCATCATCATCACATCATCATTACATCATCATCTTCATCTTCATTCATCTTCATCCTCCATCCTCCATCCTCCATCCTCCATCCTTCGTCCTCCATCCTCCATCCTCATCCTCCTCCGCCTCCTCCTCCTCCGCTTCCTCCTCCTCCGCCTCATCCTTCTCCTCCACCTCCTCCACCTCCTCATCCTTCGCGTAATCCTCCTCCGTCTCCTCCTCCGCCTCACCCTCATCCTCTTCCTCCTCCTCCTCCTCCTCCTTCTCCTCCTCCTCCTCCTCCTCCTCCTCATCATCATCATCATCATTCTCCGCTTCCTCCTCCTCCTCCTTCTCCGCCTCCTCCTCCTCTTGTTTCTCCCTCTCCTCCTCCGCCTCCTCCTCCTCGTCCTCCTCATTATCCGTTTCAGCATTCTCCTCCTCTTCACCCTCCGCCCGCTTCCTCCTCCTTCTTCTATTCCGTCTCCTCCTCATCATCATCATCAACACCATCATCAGCATCATCAGCATCATCATCGTCATCATCACCATCATCATCATCATCATCATCAGCATCATCATCATCATCATCATCATCATCATCATCATCATCATCATCATCATCATCAGCATCAGCATCAGCATCATCATCAGCAGCATCATCTTCATCATCATCCCCCTCCTCACCCTCCGCCC